CACCCCGACCACATCCTGCAATCAGGACACTTCCTCCTCGTCGTGGACCCGATCATTGGCAAGACCTACCTGTCTTGAGTCCTCATGGACGGCGGAAGTGGCCTCAACCTTCTCTACACCAAGACCTACGATGCCTTGGGGCTTTCATGGGCACCCATACGACCATCTAGTGTTCTGTTCCATGAGTCATACCTAGGCTCCAGGTTGTCCCCTTCGGGCAAGTGAACTTACCTATGATGTTCGGGGGTCAAGCCAACTTTTGCATGGAGTTGCTCACCTTCAAAATAGCGGACTTCCCTAGCGCCTATCATGGAATACTGAGTCGGGCATGCTACACCAAGTTCATGGCCCTCCCCAACTACACCTACTTGAAGCTCAAGATGCCTGGCCCACATGGGGTCACCACTATAGGTGGTGACCTTCAGCAGGCCCACCTCTGCGAATGAGAGAACTATGACATCATGATAGTTGGGAGCCAGCCCTCGAGGGCTAATCCCGAACACGATTTCCCTACATGGTAGGGGAGTACGTGAAGGACACGCTTTGCGACTTCGGCGGTAGCACGTAGCAAGGCAGGCAGCAACAAGGCTCAAGAACAACATGATCAAAGAGCGCTAGAGGGTCTATGACATGGCACATTCCTCAATGTAGCAAGAATTGTGTCCCAAGCCCTGCCGCGTTGGGCACCATGAGCGATGAAAGCCATGACCAATGGCGCGGGCGCTAAACGTTCGCATCAAGGCTTCTCTCAGCCCGCTGAAAATTTTGTACATAACCATCAATGAATCTCTTCCAAGCCTAGAGATCACGACACGCCTTAATAAGCGCACATCAAGGCGATGCTCCAATGACGTGCACGCATGCCTAAGAAACCAATGTCAATCGGCGTGTGCCTGACGACATGATTCACTCACACGGGCTACACCGCAGCATACCACACAACGATGCCCACCGAGAAGATCATCACAATCCAAAGAAAAAGGAGACGACTCAAGGTGCACTGCCGCTGGGCCGGTCCTATGACACCATGGTCACAAAAATAGAGTCGCACCAAGCCAAACTACACATTCAAATGACTATGGCATTCAAACGAATGGATCAACAATGGACACATGAAAGAAAAAGAAGCATGAAACATCAACTGAAGAATCTTATTCATCAAAGGACCCTAGGTACAACCTAAGGCCCCTGGCCACCACCGCGGAGGATGTCCTCCATGTTCACAGTGGCCACGATAGTGGCAGCAGTGGTGGCAAAGCCACCGATCATCTCTGCTCACTCCACCTGGCTGGCATGGTCGGAGAACCCAGGCACCACCCGATGAAAATCCTCGCCGATGCAGAGCTGTAGCGCGACGAGCACAACACTGGCTCCTTGATAGATTCTAGCCACAACCACGCGTTCATGGTCCTCCATCAGAAGAACCTCCCAAAGGCGAGCTTCCTCCATCTCATGGCAGGAGGCCACCAGCTGCTCCTCTAACGCTAGCAATGAGGGGACACAAAGATCAGATGGAAATCAAGAATGACAAACGACAAGCGAGACAAAAAGACATAGAAGCATCCTTACCCATGATGCGGGCCTGGGCATTGGCGGCCACCACCTGCGAGGCAGCGGTCTCCCTCTCCGATGCCTCGAGGGCCACTCAAACGGCCTTAAGACAATGGTCTAGCTGGCTCACCTCGTGGGTGGCATCGGAGTAGCACTGGCTAGCCTCGTTCACCCCATGGACGAGCTCAAGGAACTCACGATGATCCTTCGAAGATGATGATGATGACCTCGACCCCCCCGGAAGGTGGGGTCAAGGCGTGAGTGGCGCTGGTGGCCCCTACAAGCGCGGCGTGAGAGGTAGCCCTACAAAATGTGCACAATCAACATAGGTCAAACCCTCAAACTTGAGCATCATCCGAATGCACTTACCCTTGATCACGTAGGCAAGGATGGATGGGTGGTGGTGCCCCATCGGTGCCTGATGACTGCTTATCGTGACTCATCCTCATTGGCAAGAAAGTGACTCCAGAAAGAGCTAGAGTGAGAACAGGGAAGTGATGGAGTAGGTGACTCAGGGCAAATGCCTCCTCGCCATATTGCTCCAAGAGTATTTGTAGCTGCTAAGGATAGTCAAGGAACGCGCGCACCCACTCACATTTACTAACCGCTTGAAAAACCTCATAGAGCAGGTGAAGTGATCAGAGGGAAGGTAGAATGACGGTCGCCCATGAATCAAGTAAGCCACGTACATCCCCATTCTCTCCATACCGTTTCAATTTGCGTGCTCATGTTTCACAGCGCACAACTATTCATGATCGGGAGCCATTATGCCATGATGTGACCAGGGAGGCCGACCGTCCCTAGAGGTCATGCACCGAGCGATCCACCATGACCATGACTCCGTGTCGTACTTGTTGGGAGTATGCCCTAGAGATAATCATAGAGATGATTGTATTGCCTTATATCCATGACATATTATGAGTTCATTTGAATATCCATTAAAGACAAACTTGTATCGATTGGCAATTATGTGAATTGTTTGTGAAACTATTTTACTTGTATGGTTATTCTAAAGTTGTCCCTGATCAGAGTTCTTGTGAGGAAACACATGAATATTAGATCAGCACATTATTAGTTGATGAATATGTTTCACAAGTCATAGACATGGAGATGTCAAACTAATAATGTGGGCACATGTATGACATGGGGCTGGACAGACCCAACGTGAGATGTTCTTATTGTCTCTTTACACATCATGTATGTTATGTCCTTAGACCTAAGATTGTCATATGTACTCAAGATGTGTAATGACCTACTTAGGGACTATCAAACGCTACTCTGTAACTGGGTAGTTATTAAGGTGGTTTTCAAGTTTATCGGGAAACATGCTGTGAGACATAGTCAATCAAGATGGAATTTGCCCCTCTTCATGAGAGAGAGATATCACTGAACCACTCGAATGATTTGGATCAAGAAAATGCATGGCCGTGCTTGGGTTAATAGTTAACCCACGAGTTGGACCAAATATCGTGTGGCAAAGGGAATAACATGTATGTGGTTTTGCGGTGGTTTATCTGATATGATCTTTACGTATGCATAGGAGTTGACATGCCTTGCTAGAGGCCGCTACCAACTATTGGCCGAATAGGAGTATTCGAGCCATGTCTATGTGTGCGTGAACCCATAGGGTCGCACGCTTAAGGGGCTGGAAGCCTAATTTGGATTGGAGGCGAATTAGACAAGGTTTAGGGTTGCTAATGGGCCTCCAACTCAGGAGCTCATTAGGATGCCTATATAAGCAAGGGGAGGGCGGTAGGGCTAGGTCAATTTAGGCCATTTGGCAGCCACCGCCCTTCCCACGCCCGCGCCTTCGTTCCTCGCAGATCTAGCAGTCCGAAGGCACGACGCTTCCTCCCTGTACTTGTGGATACCTCGGAGGTGCTGCATCTGGAGCACAAGGACGAACTGCACAAGAGGAATAGGTGGAAGGACGACCATGCAACTGCATGGCACTGCTGCGACGTGCACGACTACATCGAGTCGCTTCCGCTCCACCTACGCGTCTAGTGGTAATCCCGTGATCCATAACTAGCGGTAGTTCCTGGTTTATGGGGTCGAATTTTTGTTTTTCGGCTAGTGTAGCAACCTCATAACCCTTTAGTGGTATCAGAGCTATAGCTGCGTCGTTATGGATTCGGATGTATGCATATGGAGATATGCGCAGTTGTAGATGTCTTTCTGATCATGGTTCGTGATCTCGCTATGTTGGTCTTGTAACGATCTACTCGTACCGGTAGGAATTCCGCCATCCGAGTTAAGTGATACATGTAAACCCAGTCATGGTGAGTTGGAGATCAATTAGATTGATTGAATCGAACCTAGGTCAAGAGCCGAGCGCATGTGATGTGCGGTGGTGGTAGATTGGATCTGTTATCGGGCGCCGGGGTGCAAGAAAAAGTGCTGTTCGATAAAACGGCCGTAACTTTTGCATACGACCTCGGATTGGGATGATTCTTATACGAAAATTGTAGAGAAAAATTTTTTGCATCCGATTCTCCCCCACTTCGTCAGGTTCGCTGAACTTATTTTTGCGAACAAAGGACGGGAAGATGTTGTTTTTGGCGTTTTAAGATTAGACGTCGGAATCGGTTAACTCTATTTTGCAGGATTTCATGACTGGTATAGCCCTTATGTGTATGTGATGCATGTATGTAATTAATTCATGGCTTGCACGTCATGAGGATGACAATATGGGCTGGATCCTCATAGACATTGTCAACATTATTGTAATGGCCTGCGTGCCAAACTATGATGATCCTATCCGTGACTATGTAATTTTAGTTCACTGCCTTGCGTTAGTGATAGCTAGTCTTGGCGGACTCATCACTGAAGGATAGCATACATGGATCATGGAGATTAATGGAGATCCCCAGAGGAACAATGGGCTATACCAAGTCATATCTATGTTAATGCCGTTCTTACTATGTTCTACTTTCACGTGCGATAATGTTTTTGTCTACATGCGATAGTGAAGTAGAACGATCTGTCAGCAATGTTTAAGTTGAATTGCTCCCCCAAACCTTGCACTATCTTTGGTCTTGTACAATCGGTGGTGGGTCTATGAAATTAGGGTGCCACTGATTTTCCTTGACTAGACAGGTTCATATCGGATACTTACAGTAGAAAGGTTGGTTACTTAAACAAGGTCATCCTAACGGTTAGGTACCTTGGAGCATAAGGAGTTGGGCGCTATAGCATAGAGATGCTACCCAACAACAAGAGTCATATGTGATATGATTAGCAAAGAGTTGCTTACCGATCTACCATGTCTTCTAGCGGTGATGCTAAAGCTCACTAGTAGACTTGTTAGTTGTGGGTCTTGAATCACTAAGTTTCAATAGAGGGATATTGATTTTAGTGGGAGTAGATTCTATTAAAGGCTTAATATTATTTACTCTGTCATGGATACATTGTCTTAGTATTTTTTGCATTACTTTTGTTATAGATAAATGGAGCCTACCAATCAACCGTTTACTTTGCGTTCAATTCTTGAGAAAGATAAGTTGAATGGAACAAACTATGCGGATTGGATCCACAACCTGAGAATTGTTCTCAGGGAGAAAAAGGAAGATATTCTAGACACCCCATTACCTGTAGAGCCTGCTGATAATGCACCTGCTGCTGAGAAAAACGCTTACAAGAAGGCATGTGATGCTGATCTTGAAGTGAGTTGCCTTATGCTTGCTTGTATGGAAACAGATCTGCAGATGCAGTTTGACAACAACCATGCAGCGTACGATATGATCGTGGCGCTCAATGATATGTTCCAGACTCAAGCCAGGACTGAAAGGTTCAATGTCTCAAAGGCTTTTGTTGAAACCAAGCTAGCAGAGGGCGCAGCAGTAGGGCCACATGTGATCAAGATGGTTGGTTACACTCAGAGGTTGGAGAAGCTAGGCTTCCCAATTGGCCTAGAGTTGGCTACTGATTTCATTCTCGCGTCTCTTCCACCTAGCTATGGGAACTTCATCTCGAACTACCATATGCATGGGGCAGAAAAGGGCTTGAATGAATTGTGTGGCACGCTTAAAACTACAGAGGCTGATATCAAGAAAGGTGCTGGCAGTAGCCATGTGATGGCGGTCCAAAATAAGCCCCGATTTAAAAAGAGGGGCAGTTCTTGGAAGAAGAAGAAGGGCAAGGCTAAAGGTGAGGCTAAAGGTGAGAACTCTAAGCCAAACCCACCTGCACCCAAGGCTGGACCAACTGCTAACACTGAATGCTATCATTGTAAGGGGAAAGGTCACTGGAAGAGGAACTGCAAGCTGTACTTAGAATCCATGAAGGATAGCGGCGGTAAAGGTACTCCCGCAATTTGTACACTTGTTGTTTATGTTACGGACATTTTCCTCGCTAACTCTTATATAAATTCTTGGGTATTTGATACCGGATCGGTTGCTCATATTTGCAATACGATGCAGGGAATGATAAGAAGTAGAAGCATAGAAAAGGGAGAAGTTGATTTCCGCGTGGGCAATAATGCAAGAGTTGCTGCGTTGAACGTCGGGACGATGCAACTCCACCTCCTGTCAGGATTTATTTTGGAATTGAATAATTGTTATTTTGTTCCTAGTTTAAGTCGAAACATTGTGTCACCTTCATGTTTGATGAAGGATGGTTATTCATTTGCGAGTAAAGACAATGGTTGTGTTATCTCTAAGAATGACATGTTTGTGGCTTTTGCATCCATTGTGAATGGGTTATTTATTTTAAATCTTGATGATGCACCTGTCTATAATATAAGTGCTAAAAGGCCTCAGCTTAATGAGTTAAGTCCTACCTATATGTGGCATTGTCGTTTAGGTCATATAAGTGAGAATCGCATGAAGAGGCTCCATGCTGATGGGCTTTTAACTTCGTTTGATTTTGAATCATACGAGACATGTGAGGCTTGTTTGCTAGGGAAGATGACCAAGGCGCCTTTCATAGGTTTTCCTGAGAGGGGGATAGACTTGTTGGAACTCATACATACTGATGTATGTGGACCAATGAGCATGATAGCTAGAGGCGGATTCCAATACTTCATAACCTTCACTGATGATTTTAGTAGATATGGCTATGTCTACTTAATGAAACATAAATCTGAGACATTTGAAAAGTTCAAAGAATTTCAGAATGAAGTAGAGAATCAACGTGGCAAGAAAATTAAGGCCTTGCGATCTGATCATGGAGGAGAATATTTGAGCCATGAGTTTAGCAACCATCTAAAGAGTTGTGGAATTGTTCCACAGCTTACGCCACCTGGAATGCCTCAGAGAAACGGCGTGTCTGAGCGACGTAATTGGACTTTGTTGGACATGGTTCGGTCAATGATGAGCCAGTCAAACCTACCTTTATCGTTTTGGGGATACGCTCTAGAAACAGCCGCTTTCACATTAAATAGGGTATTGTCTAAGTCCGTAGTTAAGACACCATATGAGATGTGGACTGGTAAGAGTCCCAGTTTATCTTTTCTAAAAATTTGGGCTTGTGAAGTTTATGTCAAACGACTTCAGTCAGATAAACTAACACCCAAATCGGACAAATGCTTTTTCGTGGGATATCCAAAGGAAACTTTAGGATATTACTTTTACAACCGATCAGAGGGCAAAGTGTTTGTTGCTCGGAACGGTATTTTCTTAGAGAAAGAGTTTCTCAAAAGAGAGAAAAGTGGACAGAAGGTGTATCTTGAAGAAGTTCAAGATGAGCAAACAGGGAAGGACTCTACGAGTGATGCTAATGTAGCAGAACAAGTTGAGATACTCGTGGCATTAGAGGCACCGCCACAACCATGAAGGTCAGCAAGAATCTGTGAGGCACGCGGGGAATTATTATTGTTGGACGATGACGAACCTGCGACATATGCGGAAGCAATGATGGACCCAGATTCTGAGAAATGGCAAAGTGCCATGAGATCCGGATAGATTCCATGGGAGACAATCAAGTTTGGAACTTGGTTGACCCGCCTGATGGGGTTAGACCCATAGAGTGCAAATGGATCTATAAAAAGAAAAAGGATATGGATGGAAATGTTCACATCTATAAAGCTCGACTTGTTGCAAAGGGTTTTTGGCAAGTTCAAGGAATTGACTACGACGAGACTTTCTTGCCAGTAGCGATGCTTAAATCTATCCGGATTATTCTAGCAATAGCTGCTTATTTCGATTATGAGATATGGCATATGGATGTTAAAATAGCCTTTCTAAATAGAAATTTAGAAGAGGACGTGTATATGATACAACCCGAAGGTTTTGTTGATTCAACAATGCTGGAAAAATATGCAAGCTTAAGAAATCTATTTATGGGTTAAAGCAAGCATCTCAGAGTTGGAACATTCATTTTGATGAAGTAGTCAAAGGGTTTGGTTTTCATCAGAATGAAGAAGAACCTTGTGTTTACAAGAAAGAAAGTGGGAGTGCTGTTGTATTTCTAATCTTGTATGTAGATGACATACTATTGATTGGGAATGATATTCCAATGTTGCAATCAGTAAAGACTTCACTGAATAATAGTTTTTCTATGAAGGATTTAGGAGAAGTAGCATACATTTTGGGCATTAAGATCTATAGAGATAGATCAAAGAGGCTTATAGGATTAAGCCAAGATACGTACATTGACAAGGTGTTGAAACGGTTCAACATGGAACAGTCTAAGAAAGGGTTCTTGCCTATGTCACATGGCATGTGCTTTAGCACTAAATAGTGTCCTTCGACAGCTGATGAGCGCAATCGTATGAGTAAGGTTCCATACGCCTCGGCAATTGGTTCCATCATGTACACCATGATATGTACACGTCCAGATGTCTCATATGCTCTAAGTGTTGCGAGCAGGTACCAAGCAAATCCAGGTGAGAGTCACTGGACACTTGCTAAAAACATTCTTAAGTACTTGAGAAGGACTAGAGATGTGTTCCTAGTCTATGGAGGTGAGGAAGAGCTCATTGTAAATGGTTACACCGATGCTAGCTTCCAAACTGACACGGATGATTCACAGTCTCAATCAGGATATGTGTTCACAATAAATGGTGGTGCGGTTAGCTAGAAAAGTTCCAAGCAGGAGACGGTGTCTGATTCTACAGCAGAAGCCGAGTACATCACAACTTCTGAATCTGCGAAGGAAGGTGTTTGGATGAGGAGGTTTCTCATTGAACTTGGTGTGTTTCCAAATGCATCTAGCCCATTGAATTTGCATTGTGATAGCAATGGGGCTATAGCACAGGCCAAGGAGCCAAGGAATCACCAAAAGAACAAACATGTACTTCGGAAATTTCACCTCATTAGAGGGTTCATTAGTAGAGGTGACATCAAGATGTGAAAGATACACACGGATTTGAATGTTGCAGATCCTTTGACAAAAGCTCTTCCACAGCCTAAGCATGAGACACACATGAGAGCTATGGGTATTAAATATCTTCGAGATTAACTCTAGTGCAAGTGGGAGATTGTTGGGAGTATGCCCTAGAGATAATCATAGAGATGATTGTATTGCCTTGTAACCATGATATATTATGAGTTCATTTGAATATCCATTAAAGACAAACATGTATCGATTGGAAATTATGTGAATTGTTTGTGAAACTCTTTTACTTGTATGGTTATTCTAAAGTTGTCCCTGATCAGAGTTCTTGTGAGGAAACACATGAATATTAGATCAACACATTATTAGTTGATGACTATGTTTCACAAGTCATAGACATGGAGATGTCAAACTAATAATGTGGGCACATGTATGACATGGGGCTAGAGAGACCCAACGTGAGATGTTCTTATTGTCTCTTTACACATCATGTACGTTATGTCCTTAGACCTAAGATTGTCGTATGTACTCAAGATGTGTAATGACCTACTTAGGGACTATCAAACACTACTCCGTAATTGGGTAGTTATTAAGGTGGTTTTCAAGTTTGTCGGGAAACATGCTGTGAGACATAGTCAATCAAGATGGAATTTGCCCCTCTTCATGAGAGAGAGATATCACTGAACCACTCGAATGATTTGGATCAAGAAAATGCATGGTCGTGCTTGGGTTAATAGTTAACCCACGAGTTGGACCAAATATCGTGTGGCAAAGGGAATAACATGTATGTGGTTTTGTGGTGGTTCGTCTGATATGATCTTTACGTATGCATAGGAGTTGACATGCCTTGCTAGAGGCCGCTGCCAACTATTGGCTGAATAGGAGTATTCGGGCCATGTCTATGTGTGCGTGAACCCATAGGGTCGCACGCTTAAGGGGCTGGAAGCCTAATTCAGATTAGAGCCGAATTAGACAAGGTTTAGGGTTGCTAATGGGCCTCCAACTTAGGAGCTCATTAGGACGCCTATATAAGCAAGGGGAGGGCGGCAGGGCTAGGTCAATTTAGGCCATTTGGTAGCCGCCGCCCTTCCCACGCCCGCGCCTTCATTCCTCGTGGATCTAGCAGTCCGGAGGCACGACGCTTCCTCCCTGTATGTGTGGATACCTCGGAGGTGCTGCATCTGGAGCACAAGGACGAACTGCACGAGAGGAACAGGCGGAAGGATGACCACGCAACTGCACGGCACTGCTGTGACGTGCACGACTACACCGAGTCACTTCCGCTGCACCTGTGTGTCTAGTGGTAATCCCGTGATCCATAACTAGCAGTAGTTCCTGGTTTATGGGGTCGAATTTTTGTTTTTCGGCTAGTGTAGCAACCTCATAACCCTTCAGTACTTAGGAAACCCACTCTTGGGGTGGCCCATAGAATGGCTCGAGGCCACAAAAGGGATAGGGGCAGGGAGGAGATGGGTCCCCGTGGCTCTAATTGATGGTACAGAGCCACATGACCATCTCTCCCTATGTTTGAGTCATCCGCTTCGAAGTCTATTGGCCCCTCATTTTGAGAGTCCTAGGTGCATCTGTACTTGCGCCAGGATCATGCACAAGTAGGCACAAATTAACAGAAATGGCACATAGATATAATAAAAGATTCCGAGCTTTATTGATATCTAAAAAGGTGGAGTCTTACAATAGTGGCCCGAATGGCATATTTATGGGTTACAAAACTAGTGGAAGACTACTACTATGAAGTGACATTTTATGACATCATGGTGGTCTCTAGTACGATAGTATTATACAGCATAGCTATATCCTAATCCATAGCAAGCTCGAGCACGGTTGAAACCCTAGTTTCGATGTCTTCTTCCTACGATCGATAACTTTGTGTAACTCCTAATCCTCGTGGTATGCCTCCTCATCGAAGTCTTGGTCCTCCTCAGTGCCAAAGTCTATGAGTAAACAATGGGTGAGTACATACGTACTTATGTGGCAGAACCTCCTAAATTATAGGGCCCACATGCACCTGTCACTGTCCAATGACCTTGGATGACCATGCATATGTTCTCGGTAACTTAAGAAGACTGTCGGGTGTCCTTGGGGAACCCCAAATCATCCATGATTTCCGAGCAGGATCCCATTACAGAGTCATTGCAGTATTACAATATTTATTCAAATATCTACATCTGAGTAAAATAGCGGAAGTCTTACAATAATTTAGTTTACAAAACAGTAGTTTCAAACCTTACAACTAAGTTCGATTAATATTACAAACCATAGTAGTGGAGTGGCATTATTAACATAATACAAAACACACAATTAAACTGCCCTGCCCAAGGGCCACACATTTACTTATCGTCATCGGATCGAACAACAGTCATGTAGCACAGTCCAAAGCAGACCTGCTCATGAGGCTCACCTGCAACAAGGGTCAACGAACCCTGAGTACAAAAGTACTCAACAAGACTTAACCGAAATAAAAACTGATAGAACACAGGAATGCAGGCTCAGGGATTCAAGGTATGGCTTTAGCAATACTCAAAATTCTTTTGCGTAAAAGCTCTTTAACAAAATTCTTTATTTCAACATTTAAAATTTTATAAGAACCATATATGAATCTGCCATGATCCGTAATGAGATCTTGAACTTCATATCAAACTCTTTCTCAAATCCAGCTCAAGTTTCATTTATTAACTACGATGATGAACAGAGAGTTGAGTCTCCATAACCAAGGAGCAACGACGATTCGAACCGATTAAAACCCAGCTGGGGATTCTAGACCACACAACATAGGCAGGTCCCTGACCTACATATACCAACCTACCCTCAGGTCCTCTAAAACAAGAACGGGTCCATTGCCACGTGGGTACATGCTATTCCCGCCATCTCTCCACTTCCAGTGCGCGAGTAGCCATTCTTGTAATAGAATCGCCAAGTTAAGGCTTACTGGAGTATGTGGTTAGTACTACAAAGTCTCATCTCACATAGTTCAACAACGGACGGTTCTTAATCGACATAGGCGGAAAGAACCCGCTCATAAGACATCCATGTCTTGTGGCTCTCACACACTGAGTCCGCCCGGTCTAGATTTATTACTCCACATGCTCATATCTCATGATAACATAAGTAACCAAACGTAACCAAAGATCCATTTAAACCTCACAGGTGATAGGTCATCACCCGACTTTTATCGGTCTAAGCATGGCAAAGCATAAATAGACATTCTCGAATGTAACCAGTTAACAAGGTAGACATGGGAAAACAAGGTTGGTAATGCACCAATTAGGTTTTCACTCAACTCCTAATTACTTAATGCAGTACTGAAAATAAAAAGTGATAAAAATTTGTAAAACACAAGGTAGGTTTAAATGCATCTGAGGCTTGCTTTGATTCACGGAAAAGTCAGGTTCCGGAGACGTTCCACAGATATCAAATCCGACCTCAACAGACGAAGCAACCTCCTCCACAACTTGATTGACTACCACGTTCTCGTTGTCGTTCACTACACATAGTAACAATGCCATGTTTAATATGATGCGAGAAATAAAACATGATGCTTGATGATGGATGCGAAAGTTAAAAACTTGAATACAACTTTCCTTCGTGGTACAGTTACAAGTCAAAACTAACTAAACCTTTTTCATAACACTTATTTCAATTGCCAAGGATCATTACCAACTAATGACCCAAGGTCATCACTCAATCCAAAAATTCAAACAAAACCTAAATCATTAAAGGTTACTATTTGCTTTTATGAATTAATTATTAATTCAAAATTATGAAATAAATCAACTTGTTCCAATTGAGCTCAAAATTTTTGTAAAGGTTTATCACATGATAACTAAGTGGCACAACAATTTTCATAATTTTTGGATAATTATTTAAGCCTAGAAAAATCATGGAAACTCATTTATTAATTAATTGAGCAATTTTTATCACATTAAAAAATTTATGAAAAGCAACATTTCATATTTTTCCTAAATATTATACATCACAGAGAGGTCACACAAATTTTCATAATTTTTGGTGCTATAAATAATTCTACACAAAAATAACAAAAACTCATACTATTCATTCATTTCTGAAAAAGAAAAATTTCCATTTTCAAATCAAACCACTAGTGACAGAGCGACCCCACCTGTCAGCACCGATCCCCGTGTTGACCACGGCGATGACGCGCGCTGATCGGCGATTCCTCGCCGCCGGTGAGATCAACGGCGACGGCGAGGGTACCAACATGATCACCAAGACAAGGCACACCTAGGGGTAGCACTAATTGCATCGATTATAGCTCAATACGAGCTCAACGCCGGCCATGGCGGACATGGCGGAGCGGCTGTGCTATGCCGGTGAAACAAGACTGGTAGAGCTTAAACAAACTACATGGGAAGGTTCAGCAGCTCACCCCAAACACGATTGAGCAAAAAGCGGGACCGAAGGAGCAGCGAAGAGGTGGGTCGACGGTCACAGCAGCCACAGCAGCGCGAGCAACGTCGACGGCGGTGTTCCAGTGACTGCGGTGGACAAAAGGATCAATCAACCGGTCATAGAGCATCACGGGAACAAGGTGAAGCTGGAACAATACTTCGCAAGGACAAAGGCTCATCGCAGAGCGCTGGCCACAACGGCGCTCACTCGACAGTGGTGCTGCCGGCCACGAGGAAGAAAGGCGACGAGCGGCATTTCCCGGCGAAGTCATGCGATCAGAGCTAGTTGGCTGGGTGTGCAAGGAACAAGCGGAGCTA